TGTTTTCTGGCATGCGCGCGTCCTGCATGGCATCCCAATTCGATTGTCCGATCCCAAAATAGGATTCTCGTACGTCGAATTAGGATATCGCTCGGCGACTCTTTTGACACCTTCAACTCTGTAGCACCAAGCGTAAAATGTATCCACCAGCGAAGCGGACGTGAGCAAAGACGACGGCGCGCTCTTACTTGTGCCAGTGCATTGCTCTTGTGTTGTCGAATGGAGGGTACGTTGCTTTCCGATCCATTTGATGAACGGAAATACATCTAATATGAGCGAGCGTGTTGCAATCGAATCGGTTTTTGACCAATCCGATGAGGCTATAGCATCCAATGCACCCACGGACCCTCGTGCTTCCAGTGGGAAACTGCTCGCCTCGATGTGCATTGCCCCATGCGTACACACCGAGCACGTTGGATCTTGATAGCCTGCTGAGTGCTTGCCATCGTCGCCGGGGGTGGTGTCATGATGAATCCTCGACAAGAGCTAAAAAATTCTACTTCAGTAACTCCTAAAAAATCCAGAATGCTAAGGGTGAATGTGCGTTCTGATTGGCTGAAATGACCTGGGCTCGCAAGAAAACTCCACGCGGCGCCCCCGCAAACCGCATGTCCATGGCGCGCTCCATGAAGTCCCATCGGTATCGTGATCGAGTCCCTTCGTGGATGCTGGGGAAGGAGCACTTGCCGGCACGGAGGCCGCATTCAATAGACCCAACTACGACATGTGGTGTGGGCTGTTCTCGAATCGAATCGAAGTAGTGGATCTGGTTGTAGACAGGACCAACCTTCCTCCATTTATCCTCAGTTTCGTGTAGACGTCATCAACCTTTGCTCTACCACCACAAGTCGCCGCGGCGTTGCAAGGGTTTTGGGACTGCACCCCGACGAGAGAGAGAGATCTCTCTCTCTCTCTCTGAGGCCTCCACGCCCTCCCCCTGGCATGAATGTTGAGCTGAAACACGATCGGACGGTTTGAGGGACGTACCACGACCACCCGTGCGAGCAGTGCATCGTGCACTGGCCCTCGAGCATGGATAATCGAAGCGGCTTGTGGCTCCGCCTCCGCACGATGGACGTGATCATAGCGTTGCAAGTGTCGATGGTGCTGTGACAAGGCGATTAGTGCTCCCAAGTTAGTCGAAAATGGCATGTGTGGCATCACGTGGTCGCGGGCGGCGGACCCACCGACGGCTCCAGCTTTATAGTTCGCACACTACAGGCATCATTTCTTCGCGGGAAGGCGCGAAGGAGGTAGCGGTTGGTGCAGAGGGAATTCGTTGGATCCGAGAGTCGGACATAACCCAGGCGGCGACGATACACGCACTATTTCGCCACTCTTATCGACAACGGGCACCACCCGCCGTGTTTGTGCAACCTGGCACATGCTTGTCGTGCACGCAAGTTGACCCGCGTGGTGGCAATCCCGCCCGTGAGGGCCGTCGCTGGTGCCAACCGTCGCTTCGACTGCGTGTGGTGTACCAAGCCCAACGCGACTAGACACCCGGGCGTCGACCACCCGACCCCCCTCGCCATCGACACCCGCAACAAGAGATCCAAGCACGCAGCACGATTTGGATCAGGCACGCGCGCCCACCCACCACCACACGTGTGAGTTCGATCGACAGGCTGTTCCAATAGAACCAGGCGGATGGACCGAGCGTATATTCTCACGTCGGCCATCCCCCTGTCCGAGAGAAAGCAGGAAGGGTTGCTATGGTCCCATCGACCGACCCCCGCCGCCGCCCCCATGACACGCACCTTGTCAGCGCCCGTCATCGTGCGCAGCGCACTTGTCCACCGAGTTGTGGCCAGTGCGATAACACTCGGTCGTATTTACAGTGTAGTGTTGGACGAGCCACCAAACCATTTCCTTTGCATCTGGATACAGTTTGACGACGGGGGAGGTTTCCTTGGCAGGTCAGTTTTGGATCTGCCACGTGATGGCGATGCCAAGTGGGTCGGCGGCGGACATTGCGCCGTTCCTCAAAGTTCTCCGTGCGATCCTTGAGACCGAGAGCACCGACATCTTGCGGTGGACGCCGGACGGTGCCGCGTTCGAGATCCTCGACATGGACCGCCTCGTCCAGACCGTTCTCCCCAAGTACTTCAAGCACAACAAGTACCCGAGCTTCCAGCGCCAACTCAACTACTTTCACTTTAAAAAGTGGACCAAGTCCCGCGCCAACGTGTGCACGTTCTCCAACGAGTTTTTCCTCCGCGACGCCCCAGACAAGAGCGCGCACATCACGCGAAAAAAGTCGGTCAGCCGAAAAGAGTCGATGGACGAGTGGGGCGACAACGACGGGTTCGACATGTTCGACCCACTCGTCGACGGTAACGAAGAAGCGCTCGAAGCGTACTTGCGGCAGGAAGACCTCGACTTGCTCGCTACGTTAGAAGAAATGAAATGTTAAATTATGCCTGGAATCACCATCGCGACCTAGCACCACGAGTCAATCGTACGTGCTCGTCGCACCATGCGTACCGAGGCCATGGCGCGTCTTGCGGATCTGTGGAAGGGTCCACATCCACGCACGTCGTCGTGGAGGTCAGTGCCTGGTTTTGGTGTAGGCCGCTTCTATCCAAGAGATGGCCAGCACCTATAGCCGTCCTCCACATGGCAATGACACCACGTGGTCTGCCCTCAACGTAGACCCACGTGTGCGCCGACGATCGAAAGAGTGCGTCGCACGGCCGCAGCTGCGCCACATGCTGGTCGGCGCTCGTTTTGCAAAGATGGGTCGAACTCCCCGCCTTGGACTTATACGGCGAACGTGACACCTCCAACTCTTATTCAGCAATGTCCTACTCGTGCTTTGCCTCGATGCTCGACGCACCGGAGCCCATGACGATTCCAATCCACACACGATCGGCCTTGTTGGACTCTTGAATGCGTCGCTAACGCGGCAGCAACCCCTTGCTGGATACAGTCTCGGGGGGAGGTTTTCACCTCGCAAAATCCTCGGCGGCGTCCGGGTACTGTCTCTGGGCAGATGTCCAAATCGTATCGGCGAAACGTCCCACGTTTCGACTACGAATCCAACAACGCACGTGGTGGTGATCTTGAACTACTTGACCAAACAACCCGACGACCCCATTGCGCCCCCACCCACAGAGTCGTGGCTCACTGCCATTCCATCGAGAGCCGCAAGAGGTTGGATGTGTAGTTGGTTGAGCGAGAGATAGGCGCAAGTGACTTGTCAAGCACATCGCGAAGGCCTCCGCAGCGCAGACAGCTCAGCAGCCGGACCCGTGCTTCGCTGGGTTGATACATGGTTCCTTTGTTGCGCATTGGCATGGTACCGACATAGCTCCCGTCGCCGTCGAGTCATTGTCATGATTGACGCGCAATGGCATGGAGGATGGACACTCGGCGACCATCCATCAAGGGCGACAGGCATCCTGAACTCACGCTGCGAGCACGTCTGCGCGCTTCGAATCATTCGCTCTTCTTTCTCCACATGCAATCTCAGGGAGCGTCGTTGGGTTCGACCAGGTTACAGTTCCTGTGGTGGAAAGGATTCCGACGAGCCACTACATCGCCGGAAAACCACCCGCCGCTCACTCTTGCTTGTGAGAACGTGCAAGGGTTTGCGGTGCACGTGGTGCTCTGAGTTCGCAGCCGACGACAAGGCAATACAGCAAACTCTTGTACCCACGTCTACTCGGCGGATTCCGCACGTTCTCTGCTGACCATCCAATCTTGATATTACCAGCCCTCGTACAACAAGCACTTTATCCAGAAGATCCAAAGCGTGTATACAGCGCGGTGTTCGCCCAGCCCCAGTGGACCCGACAAAATCGCTGACAACGTTCTCCGGGCTCGCATGTTTGCTTGCAAAGCATGCCTATTCATCGACAACAGCGGGCACATGCCCATGTTCTCATGGCGCCAACCAGTCGACTCGAGTGGTATCTCATGCACCATGCAAGATGAGATTGCTACTCGGTGGCTGATTTGGCTGCAAACTGGAAAAAGGCCGTGATCGGCCTGGTTTCGTTGTCCACAACCTTCGGCTTGACATGGCGAGAAGATGCTGCATGCCGAGTCACGGCCCGCGCCTTCGAGTCGGCTTTAACGACCAGATTCAGCACCTTCTTCATCCCCGTCGTGATACCGACCTACGACAAGAGCCCCCACGCCGCCGCCGTGAGCCCGACCACCATAAATTCGACAGAGGTCGGATTTCAAGACTTGGTAGATCTACTTGAGGACTCACCTCGGCCATGTCTTGGCAAGACATCCACCGCACCATGGGCGACTCGAGTTGCTTCGTCACGCCCGGCCAATCGACTTCGACTTCCTCGACACCCATGTGGTGCTTGACGTGCGAAAAGACATGGACGAGCTCGCCACGGTCGCATCGACGCACGATCAAACCCTCCAGCGTCTCCGGTCGAATACTCAGCGCCGTGGCGATACCGTCATTTGCCCACGTGCGGCGCATCGCGTAGTCGGAAACGTTGTCCGAGTCGTGTGTTGCCTGTGCCGAGAAATTCAAAAGATATATCCCGTGGTGGCATGTTCACAAGAACGTGAGCCACGTTATGGAATCGAATCGCAACTGCCGTCCTGCCAAGACGGCATCGTCGACGGCGAGCTTACCTTGGACGTTAGAAACTCCCACTGACCGGCCAGCAGCCCTCGGTCGGACCGCTTCGCCATGAGATATTGCCGCGATTCCATCGTGTCGCCTAGAAATGTGCCCACCACACGGTTTAGATGGCACATTCGAGTGGACAGCGCGGCTCGTGCCGTCGTGCTGCGCACCAGGCTGGCGATACACGACAGCGACACTGATGACTTCGCTGCGTGGCGCTTTTTTCCGAGTCTTGAGCGGAAATTTCGTGACTGCAGCCGGTGCATCAACACCCCATTCCTCCAGGCGGGTGAGATCGCAGACTGCACATTCGACTTGAAGCGGTGCGTTGTTGGGGGAAGTACTGCCGTCCTATTTGAAGGGTAACCTGGCGATTCACGTCAGCATTGCCACGGGTACCTCTTTGAACTGAGCATAGGCGTGACAGAAGGACTGCACTGGACAGGTTGCGCAAGCTGGAGTCTGGTCGAAATCAAAAGCCGTGAACACACGGTTCCAGGGTGCGGGATGGCGAGGGAATACACGAAACCGAATGTGGTTTACACACCTGAATCGAGCACACCGTCGCCCCAAGCTCCATCAGGGCTTGGTTGAAGTCTCCGGGACGTGATGGATCGATGAGACGTTTGCCGCTTTCCCTAAAGCGACCCAACGCAACAGGATGGGCACTAAGGCGATTCAACAACGAGAACAGGCGCCCCCACCAGCAAAATTTGATGAGCGGCTTGTGGTTTGGATCCCCTCCAATTGCACGGAGCCTGGAAATGACCCGGATCACGTTGCCATCGACGAGGGGCTCGGCTTGGTTGAATGCCACCGATGCAATCGCGCCTGGTCCACTGTGGTTTTAGCGCAACTGTCGAATGAAAGACTCGACCACCTGCGGTGTATGGCCCAATTCCTGGAATGGTCTTGAGTGTTTCGATGTCATGCGGCATATTCCCATTGAATTTGTCCATGACGAATTGCGCTCCTTGATGCAGCATGCGAGCGCGGCGGTAATACCTGTCGTACACAAACTTTGGAATCGGCGGCACCAGCCGTGGAAGTGTCGTACCCTAAGCCGGCCCACACAGCATTCACTTGGTCTGGATCGGCTGCAGCGAGGCTCTGGACCGTTGGAAACGTGTCCATCCACTTGGTATAGTACGCCACGACAGTGTCGACTCGAGTCTGCTGGCACATGATTTCGGACACCCATGTGCCATACGGGGTAACAACGTTCGGCGCACAGTAGTCGGTGTCGCGCTCGTTCACGCGCACAAGGTATGGGGTAGAGTCACCTCTCCATGGGAGGCATCGTCGCTGTGTGTCGTACCACTTCAAGAGCGCCGACGAGATGCCCGCAACTTCGGTGGCCTTCCACGCATGGTTGTGCTTCATGCCACTTGCAACAAACTATCCGGACCACTTGACCTCGTTGTCGAATCAAAAGCATATCCGGATAATTTGAAACAACCCAATCAACAGCGTGGACACGGCGTTGCCCCGTTTTGATTGGATGGTTCTTCGTGTGGGGTTGTAATGCCTCATCCGCTTTCAGAGATGGCAAGGTCGTTTGTCGATCGCTTGCGGTATGCGAGAACGGGAAGTCTATCGTGTAAGCTATAGCAAAAGCGGTTGTCTTCATCGCATCAACGTCGAGTCGATTTAGAGCCAAGAGAAAACTTCTTTCAAATCGGTGCATTCGATTGTGTCGACAAGCGACGACAGATGCACTACAAAATAGGTCGTGAAGTTTGCACAATTGAGTGCTTTCAATAGCAAGAATAATTCCATTCCTGTGATGAAACGAATCATGGTGGGCGAAGCGGGCCACGTGGACGTGGTTGTCTCATAGGGGAACCGTGCTTCGAAATGCACCCACCGATGAGGCTGGGAAAGGGGCAGCCCCCCCCCCACACGCTCGTCCTGGGGAACAGGCGATAGCGTGGAATGCGGTACAACAGAGCTTGCATTTCTTGTACCACTCACGTCATCCTCCACTGTAGATGTGTGCCTCACGATGGATAAAGTTTCACTTTTTCGCCGTCAGCGCATCTCGTCCGCATTCAGTTCCCCGCAGCAAGCGATGTGGTGCATGGACATAAAGAGAAATGATGCCACAAACCCCAGTTTGCACAACTGGTTGGTGGACTGGCACTTTAGGAGTTTCTACTCGAGTTTGTTGTTTGCCGTTCCCAGATCCCGATAGCATTCCTCAGTACTGGGCGATGGTTTACTCAAGTTTTCTCGGTCGACCGTCGGGCCAGCTTGCCGCAAATGCTCGGATCGCACGGAGGAGTTGATTCAGCGCTGAAACGATCGCAACACCCAGCGCCCCGTGCACGAACGATATACCGTCAAATGCACGTCATCTTGCACCATCAACTTCCCTCTGGTCACATGTCAAAACACAAAATCGCGGCCCTGGCCCAGCGGCTCCTGATATCTCTGTCTTTATACTGGTGATCCGATGGATGGGCTCACCGACTTCCACCCTGCACAAATGAGGTCCGAGCCCCCGTCATGGATAACTTTGAACTGACCAGTCCAACTTTCGATGCTACGTATGACAAATCGACCAATATTGCGGCGGGAGTCGAACGGATCGATTTGTGGACGACCCCCCCCGTCCAGCAGTACATTCCTGTGATTCTCCAATGTAGCAAAGGTACATTTCACTAGTCCAAATAGCACAGATCAGTCCGTTCAAGATGACATGTGAAGAGGGCATGAACAGACCTGGAAGTACGGTGCCTGTCGGTGGAATCGTCTGAGGGAGTGAGATGTGTGAGGCCCCACCCGCGGCCGTGAAATAGACACGGCATCGTGTCTCATCCGGGGCGGACTAGCGGGAGGATGCTACTTGTTGCTACTTTGGGGAAACTACAGTGTATTCCCATCGTCCCGCGGCATTCCATCGAATGCAAAGTGTGGGACCGAGCGCGGCACGCCACCACAGCAACGACGCGTGGCGGCGATATCGAGGGCATCGCGGATGGTCAACTTTGTTTCCGTCTCGCGGTTCGCCTGGCCAACCTCGCGGCGGGCGGTGACACCGTGGGATGCTCGTCACATTCAATGGCCAGGAGTGTTTCGGTGCGCGGGCTGTTGCAAATGTAACATTCGAGCTGCGTAACAACAGCAGGACGATTCCGACTCAGATCCGTGCTGTCTCAAAATGGATGGACAGCCGCCGCTTGCACAATCCTCGCGAATCTCAACGGGCACCTACCACACGCATGGATGGTTTCCAACCCATCGGAGAGTTTGACCATCTTGGTAAAGAAGACAGCCAGCAGCAGCAGCAGCGCATCGTCGCCCTGCCACGATGGATCAGCGTAGTCGAACTGATGATGCCACACGCCGGTATTACCGCATTGATTAGAACGGGCCATTGTAAATCACGCAAGAAACCGTGGGTGCCGCCCCCCCTCGCGGTCGAAGATCTTCTCAGTTTCATGAAGGGGGGAGCTCGCCCTGGCGTCGTACACTCGTACATGCTGTACGCCGTACGAACAACGAAACGAGTCCCTGGTAACGTCCCGTACACCGAACGGACAACATGGCGTACATTCCTGAACAGGACGACTTAAGTGCAAGTTGAAGGGAACAACTTGCGTACGAGGTGATCGACCGTGAAAATCTCGAAGCCGCGGGGACGCTACCACTGCTGCTCGACTGCACTGTCGATGAATGGGCAAGTTCCATCTCGCCATCGTCCATTGTACAATCGACATCGAGCCTCACGCACCCACCGATCATGGAATTGACACACCGCGCCCCACCCATGCCCCGTTTTCCATTCCTCTTGCGATGTCAGTACGTGTACAAGCCATGCGGCAATATGCGCACCCTCAAGAAAGACGGCAACGCGCACAAACTGTGCGCGTTCCACCGCAGCCGCGCCAACATTGTGCAAAAGAATTACGCGCTCAAGCGGCGCCAGCGATTGAGGGAGCAAGCTGAAAATGCCGACGAGGCAGGGTCGGGCCCATCGACACCGCCCAAGCCTCGACGCACGCGACGGCAGCCCACCCAACCGATTCCGTTTCGAAGCGTGGACCAAGAGGCCACCGTCATCCCCACCGATGTTTTGGTGCTGACAATGCTTCTCCTTGACGACGGAATCGACCCGTTGTCGTCGACGTCGGGCAGCGACATTTCGTCGGAGGACGCATCTGTGTTACAGGAATTGCTTCTATGACGCGCCAAGTATGGCGACGCCGGTGTTAAGTTTAGATAGTTGTTGTCTCAGTGGGCGGCTTTTAATATAAATGTCCTTGAATGGTATGAATGGCTTGTGGCTCGTTGGGACGTCATGACTGACTTCTGCTCTCTGGTGAAAACAATTCGTAGGCACATCTCCCCATTGTCCAATTGCATACACTTTCGAGGTATCAAAACTTCCGCCAACGTCGCTGCGACCACACTGGGGCACCAAGGCGGTGTATTTGAGTCAACTTCCAGTGCTGGTAGCGCTAGCTAGCTAAAGTTGCTCCCACGATTGTCATGTGGTTGGATTCCTCCTCGCGCACCCCAACCACAGGTCCGTTCTGTTCACACCACCGCAATCGAGTTCCAATTTAATTTTTCATACTTTATCGACGAATTACCATTCGCATATAAAAATTTCAATCGGATATTCTGCTGACAATACAAAATTCAGTGGGAATGAAAAATGTATTTTGCAACAAGGGTGTGTTACTCGCCCATGGCAAACTCGCACGCGTCAACCGACCGCATTCTCAATCCTACCCTCTACAAGTCTGACCATGGTCGCCGCGTCGCAGTGCCAATACGCCTACAAGGTTTGCCGAAATCCCCGCACGCTCAAGAGTGACGGGGACGAACACAAACTGTGCGCATACCACCGCGATCGCGCCAACTGTGTGCAAAAGATCTATGCCGCTAAGCGCCGCCAACGCCTTCGCGAGCAGAAAAGAACATCAAAAGTCCCTGTGACCACCAAGCCATTGCCATATTCCCATGCCATCCAAGCGTCCTCCATGGACCCCGTCGAAGTGTTTCTCCTCGGGAAGCTCTTCAGCAACGATGAGGACTCGGTGTGGACTCCAAGCATTGAATGGTCGACCGACGAATGCAATGCCCTGCGTGAAATGCTGGCATGATACCCGGACAACTGGCGGGGCGGTCGGTGCCTCCAGGCTGGGCGTCAAATGTTGGTTCCCATGGGGGCGGTCGAAGGGTACTACACTCGCAAGAGCGGTAGAGTACGCTCTTCGACGCCCGGCGCCTCCAACAGACCGACACCTCCACGATTCAAATAGACAAAAACGAAGCGTAGTAAAACAGTTGTTGGAATTAAATTATAGTGCATATGCATTGTCAACGTATCGTATTTGATGCCATTCACAGCGCTGTTTAGGACGGTATTGCCCTCGTAGCTACTGCGCCATCCACTCGAGGAAAACAAGCTGACCTCGAAAAAATTCAAGTGGTCCCAAATTCATGAGAAAGTCGTGTTGGAAAAGGTGAAACTATTAATAGTCCGGTGTCCGGTACACTGTAGTAAACCGCGATTGACTCGATGTACAGGAGCAAGGTGCGCACCATCGATGCACCAATATTTGGCGCAAATACGATGACTAAATAAATGATGTACTCGTAAGGTATAGCAATAAAATGATTGATTTAACACCATGTTGTAAATTCACTTTGTACAGTGTAGTCAAAGACCAGCACAAAACCGGTCGTAAATTCACCAGAAATATTTGGCGCAAAAACGATGGGAGGTTGTAAGTCTAAATATGCTGGTTTCAGTATGTAATAAAAATTCGACATATATGTTGTTCCACTATGTAATGATTTTAGAATTTCTGGAATGAATGGCACAAAATAGGTGGCTTATCACAGGATGATCCTAAATTTGAGCGCAGCAGAATGGTGTGCCTTCCATCGTCACATCACCCAACAACGCTCTAGAACGTCCTTCACGGGCCTGTTTTTCTGTATCCTGACGTGCAATTAAGTCAACACAAAGACTCCCCCCGATGTTCCAACACTACGCCGAGGTGAACGCTTACAACCAAATTACTGTGACACCATCGCCCTGCGCATCTATCAGATCTCCGAAATCTGTCATTGGCATCGCCGTGGCGACGAATCTGCATCGTGTATGCGTGTTGAGTCCACACCCCACGATGTCCCACACGTTTCTCACGGGACCATCATGCAGGTTGCTTCACATGTCCCAAATGTCCTTCTGAATTGGACCAAAGATCTCGTTACATATGTACGTACAATTTGGGAAATGTACGAAAATACAATTTCAATACAGATCCACCCCTAACTTCTACAATAGAGAAATGTAAGGCCACATGCATTAAAAATGTGTTGTATAATGTACGTACGTACTTGAATCGTACGTTCGCATCAATGAATGCTTTTGTCGCTGAATCGAACGGCACCAAATTTACATGGCGAAGAGATTGGATTCCACCATGTACTTGACGCGGTGGCCGCAAAACCTCTGCGGCCTTTACTTTGGAAATCCACGGGACCTCCACACTCTGTCAAGGAGTATCGAGCGCCAATGCTCAAAACGCCACTGCATCTACAATGCCAGTACGCATACAAGACTTGCACGAATCCGCGGACGCAAAAGAAGGACGGCGATATCCACAAGCTGTGTGCTGTGCACCGCGACAAGGCCAATTCAGTGCAGAAAATCTACGCTGCAAAACGTCGCGCCCGGGCCCGAGAACAGCGAAAACTCCTCGTGATGCAAGCAAAAGCCGTCCAGCCCATGATACCCGTGCCGACGACATCAGACCGAGAACCTCCTTGCCACCAGGCTCCCCCCGCACCGTACATCCACGCACCCCATGTACCATCGCTCGACATACTGGACATGTACATGACTGAACCAACCATTGAGCCGATTCTATCGCCGTCCGACCGCCGCTCGTTTTCGATCGAAGAATCCGAGTTCCTTCGCCTTGTGCTCCTCTCAACCCACGAAACTTAACATATTAATATTTAATGTAACCCTCGTCAATGAACCAAGTCCAACCACGGTGTCGTTGTGGCCGATGCGCCATCCTGGAGACAGTGGTCGTCCAGTCAACCTGTTCGCCTTAGGCATTTACGGTCCAAACTTGCAGTCCACTTGGTTGCCGCGGTGGGCATGTGGGTGGTGGTCAACACGGCACTTTCACCAAGGTATCGATTGTGTTTAGGACGAGGGGACAGAGAGGATGTGCCCAATTTCTGCGATTCACTTTGCAAGATCGCGGTTTTCGATGCCAAGTTCCAACTCTAGACTAGCTGGTCGTACGCGCCTCGCCGACTTATGGAAAGCTCCATTTGGCTCACGCTTCTTTTGCGAGGTAAGAATCCCCAGCCGTACACATTGCGTGGGACCGCAAGTGCGTTACCAACGACACACGCTCGATGTAATGTCACGAGGACTTGCAGCGCAAATCGACATGCTCTGGACGATGGAAGACTGCGAACGGATGTACTGCATCCAAGGCGCTACTTGCGCCGAAGCCGTCCGAGATGAATTGGCGTGTCAGCCGAGAATAGATGACAAGTATAGCAGCACCATAGACACTCATCCGACATTCTAGACAGGTCGAGTGAGCTGAAGTGGCAATGAAATTGCCCAAAGGCCCGCCCATACCACTGGTTCATTCCACTTGTCTCGTCGCAGTTCCTACTGCCTGTCTAGGCAGCATGTCGACAGATGACGTTGTATTTCATCACTGTGGTTTGGGAAAACCCTGGGCAAGTGGACGGTGCCATTCGACTCTGGCGAAGGGCAGACACCGAGTCCATGGTACACCCATGGACTCCTACTCCCTCTGGGGTTTGCGCTTCGTCCCAACGCGCCAGGGTTTTGAAACCACCCGCTCCTTGCGCTTTTAGCAATGAAACATTATGACGATCGCACAGCCGGTCGCATGTAGGTACTAACGCAGAAAATGGCTCGAATCTCGAGGCTATTCTTCTTCAGCTTGATGCATGCGATTGTTATGGCCAAATTGCCCCCGACGCGCGTCGCGGTGGTTTGAGGGTGAGCCACTGATTGCCACTAATGCGGCTGGTCTCCGCGGAAATGCCCGAATTACGGCACCAAATACCGACGCCAGTTTCCCCACTGTTTTGCCCACCCCTCCGCCACGCGAGGTCAGTCTGTGTCAATCCCCACGCGTGAACTGCCCGCACACGAGATAGCGCGCCTTGGGCGACGTCTTGCTTGCGCTCCGAGGAGTGCCGGTAGTTTTCTGTCGGCTCGATAGCATCTCCAAATACCTGACGAACGGCGTTTGCGTTGCCAACTTTGGCTAAACTCGCCAGGAGAGGAGTGGTCCGATCTGAAGTTAATTCAGTTGTACGATGCCCGTGAATGTCCCATGGTATTCGTCCAACGCCGTGACAAATGAGGAATATTCTAACAGTAGAACTGCAAGAGCGGGACAACCGTCGAAAAGTCGTGCCCCCCAAAGCCCAAACAGCTCGAACGCCTCGCTACAGTCGCGTGGCAGCAATTTCCATGCAAGATATCCATCGTGGGCTGAGGTACGATGCTAAGGAAAACACTGGTTCGACCGAAGACACCGATAGGGGGCACTGTTTCATCACGGGGGTGCCGTGATATTCAACGAACAACTGGAACTTTGCAGCTACGTGGTAGGAAGAGTCGACTTGGTAGGGATTCCCATGCAATATCGCGACCTTGTGCCCTGCAAGTGTCCAGCGCCCCGATCAAAATCATGTCGCAATCGGGGAGTTTCACCACGAGGTGTCCTGGGGGATGCGCTCGTGGCTGCCTTTCGTGATGGAATGGATCATTGCCCATTCGATTTGTTGTGTGACGGTCACGGGGAACGAGCCTCGACTGGACAGTAAGGGGACATCCGGTACGAAGAAGGAATGCTCTCGCGAGGGCCAAAGTGAGTGCTATATGCCTCCCCTTTTTCGCAATGAAATAGCAAAGTACGGCGAGTCGCACGTAGAGGTCGACCTACGAGTAGCACGCACGTGGAATTGTGTTGGCATCTGGACGGGATCACGCCGCTCATGTGTTGCCGTTCTCGGGTCAAGCCACTTCACACTTCGATGCCTGACATGTTGTCAAAGCCCGAACGCGGGTCGGCCCGCAGAGCAGCCATTACTGCAGGTCCAGAAAACCCACTGTGCGTATCGGGGCAACCAACCTTGGCACAATAGGGCATTCCCCGAAGCACTCCTCCGGTCCCCCTTCCAGCGGATGACAGGACTAGCAACTTTCCGGGAATTCTACACTGACCCAAACAATTACGTCGACCGAAGTAGCAGCGTCGAGATTCACCCGCATGTCTTTCATTCGCCTATGCCAAGTGCAATTGCCCACGTTGGTGGGCATACCCTGGGCCCCCCACGTTTTCATTTGCCTGTGTGGTCAAAGGAAAATATCTGGGGAACGGACACTCGCCCCCTGAGAAGTTTTGCCGCTCGGCGCGGCCCATTCGGTAGAGGAAGCACATGCCGCGCTCGCGTCAGATAGCTCTATTGTTGGCTAAATAGCAACCAACCTTCCTCCATACTTACAATCAAAGCCCGACGACTCGGTCCGTGTTGAAGAGCCTTCAAGTCCCTTTGGGGCATGGTGGTGTTGGTGTCGGCGCCAACCCACCTCCGCGACCATGTACATTCTGTACATTGGTTGCCCAACAACCAAACTTTGCACGGTGGACGGATCATGGAGTGGTCGAAAAACTGTATTGGTGCTGCACTTGCCGAGCTTTCATCATACCATGCTCTTCAGGCAGCGTAACATGAGGCTGTGCATTCATCTGGAATAGGGGCAAGATGGTAGCAAGGTGACACCCCCCAAGACTGCAGAGCATCAGCTGTCGAGACACATCGAGGCGGAGCGTACAGCATGGTATGTTTGCCGCATGACGTTTTGAATGAAAACCTCTTTAACAGACATGCATTCGAACTGCGCATTATCTGGCCGTGAGCTACATGGGCACCTCCTCCGGCGCGCATGCTGCGACGCTCGAGCCTCGATGCGTTGTGGCATCGGTAAGCTTGGAATGGCTCAGTCGCGAAGCGTTTGGGGATGCCGGAGAAAGAAATGTCACAAAGGAGGACCCAACCTGACCTGTTGTGCGTCTATTGCACCCATTGACAGTCGACGACAGCATCGGGGGAGCTTAAGCTGGCATTTGCTGAAAAAATGGCCGATTTTGGTCTAGAATACACCAAAATATTCATAACAAAAAGTTGACATTGAACTCTGGCATTCAAATACCTCAAAAGAACATATCCTGTCGAATATGTAGCTATAAAGTAAACTTTTGATCCAAATTTACCCTCAAGTTATCATATCTTGTACATTTTAGTATTTGGTCCAATGAAACTCATTATCACATTATAGAGGTTTCAAAGGTCCCACTGCCTCTACCATGTCATCCTGCACTTTTTGCAGTTTGTTAGCCGCGATGCAAACTCCCACACACAATCACACCGGATAATTATCCGTCAAGTTCCTTGGGAGCTGTCGTCGACTGTGAAGGCAAGTCCTGTCGCCGCATGCAATTGTCGCAACCTGCTCACCAGTCCGACTCGTGTAGGCGTGAACTGTACGGTAAACTGAACCGCTCGTCCAACGTACAGGTTTTCATCCGATCAAAGAGGGTCGACCGCATGCACAGGGCAGGAGAGGAGGACAGAATGAAGGAGCGAAGGATTCAATACCAGCCAACTACTGACTCCGGCAGAGCAACGGGTAAACTCATGCATAGGTTGTTGTGGTCAAGCGTGGTTGAGGAGGAAATTCATGTCGTACAGGCACGGCCTCCGCGACGCCACGGATGAGATGGGAAGCGCCGATTCGTTCAGTCTTCGCTGGTGCTGCAGCCGCGCATGGAACACAGCGTCTTCGTAAGGCAGCGAGGAGTGGTCTGGCAAGGATCGAATACGGTCCACGTCCGACTGGTCGTCGTTGTGGATATGTGAGAGGGGCAGTGGGGCCGGCAGCGCCGTCACGTCGAACTCGTCCGGTCGGTGTTTGTGTTGAAGGATTTTGAGTTTTTTGAGCGCCCGCAGTTGCTGGCGACGCTTTGTGGCATATATCTTTTGGATCGAGTTGGCTTTTTTCCGGTGGAACTCGCACAGGGAGTGCGCCTCGCCATCCTTCTTGATGGACCGCGGGTGGAAGCATGCCTTGTACGGGTACTTGCACCGCTGGTCCTCGCGTGGTGCCGACGACGGCGACATGGGCGGGGGCGGCGATGACGCGTTTGTCTCGGTGGACGCCATGTCGGTCGAATGAATAAATCTAAAAGTGAGATGGGAGAGGGCCTCGCCCATCTTGAACTAAGATGGTGCTGGCAACGCTCCGCTGGCCTTGCCAACATGTACAAAATTCGGTTGATTTGGATGTTCTGAACGCGTTTGAAACCTGTTCTGAACCTGTTGAGACCACAATTGCCGAGGTAAGGACGCCCTTTGTCCATCTAGCTTCACGTGCACCTTCCTCGTTCCTCGCCTTGCTCTCTGGCCCCAGCAAGTGAGCTTGCGTCGGGCGTCTTGGTGCATCCGACGAAATGTGTGCTCTGTCTTTAATCAACGTGTTGGGGACATTTGTGCTGATGGTTGAGGTTCAAGTAGTACTGTGTCAGGGTGAGATTTGGCCGTGTGTGTTTTCAATGCCATGCCAAGCGGCAACACTGGACGGTACCGGAGGTGTTGGATACGTACCGCCCCCCCCCCGAGTGATTTCGTCGTTGCAGCTCGTGAAATCGACGTAACCCGAGAGCAGGATCAGGTCAAACGCCGGTGCCCGATGTCCTTGTAAGGTTGAAGGGAGTTGTGCCATTCGCTAGTTTATCGAGCTCGCGCTTTCCCTTGTTTCGTGGCAGAATACGCTCACACAATTTCTATGAACATCGTGCAAATTGTTGGACTGGTCAAGAAATCTCCGAAAAATGCGTCGGCCGCCAAACCAACTGCCACAAGTCTGGCTGTCAGCAGTCCTTCCAACCACCACTTCACCACTTCATCGGTCGTGTTAACGCCAGCAATCCAGCAAAACTTGGCGCGAGAAAAACCAACAAAATAGTCGGATGTAATGTGTGATCGTCAAAAAATTTCGAACTGACCAAGGTCGACCGAGAAAAATGTCGCATGTGGCTTATGATGGGAAATTGTTGGGAAGAATGTTTGTAGGCTGACCACTAGTACTACCTCCTATTCATATTAGTTGCAACAGATGGGAAATTCGACGTGGTCTTCATCAATTTTGAGCATTTTTCGATTCTGAAGAGATATTAATTTTTGTGAGACCAAGCACTATCGATTTAGACCAATAGGACCCTATTTTTCGGTATGGATGGAGGTCAAACTCGTCCTCAAAGTTTGTGGTGTATCGTGACATTCTTTACCTCATATAATACAATTCACCATGCTAGAAATTTTTATCCGTATCCGCATAGCATACCGTCACATCCCACGACGGTTTGCCCTCCGTCGTGGTCATGGTCACTCAAAAATGGCGCCAAGAGCATCCAAACGCGCCGACTTGACACCCGACGAGCGTCAAAAGCTGTTGCAACTCATACTTGTCCGCATCGATAAAGAAGGCAATCTGCCGTACGGGGCACTGGCAGAAGTTGGTCGAATCATCAAGCGTGACCGCGCAACAGTTCAGCGGGTGTGGCGCCGTGCGAATGTCAAAATGGTTGAAGGGGAGATTGTCATTGGCGACATCACATCGCAGAAGAAAAAGAGTGGTCGCAAGCCGAAACACAAAGATTTGGACTCCAAAATTGCCGAAATGCCGAAAACCCGTCGAACAAGCATCCATGC